TATATGTGTAATTACCCACTTCCTTCCAGATAAAGTTGTATTAAAATTAACGAAAATAAGTGGGTAACTTGTAATAATTATATATTTGAAGGTGCATGATTTGATGATCAGCTGATCATCGTCTGTATGTATATTACTTGTGCCGTTCTTTGGATTAATTGGTAATTTGATTACATGGGTTAATTGTGTGTGTTAAATTAAATATATTTTGGTAAATTTATACTGCATAGCTTTATGTTATTTGAATTTATTTATACCCCACGAAGAGAATCATGGCGCCCTGGGATTATCTAATATAAAGTTTATTTAAGAGTTTCTTGTCCTGCCCTGAGACTAGGTCCGGTGGTAGCCGAAATTAAAGGTTACAATTTGGCAAAGCAATAATAGTATTTTCACAAGCAAACATCAATCACGTCTTGATCACTACTAACACAATAGTATCGCAATAATCTTACTGAGTACTAAATTAGTACCACAGATACTCAAGAAAATACTCATTTGCAGGTACCCTGCGATGAGCAATCTATGGTTTCCTAAGATCACTATTGCAATAGCAATGACTGTCGTGTTGCTTCCACGCAAATGTAATACGCCATCAATATTATTTCATAATAAACATTCATTCACTACTAGGTACAAGTGACTACTGATCTACTCTACTAGTTTCCTTATAGAAAATCAAATATTCAATTATACTTAAATAACCTTCATGGTAGGATTTATTATATAAACTAGCTCTTGCCCACGACTTCGTCCGCGAAGAATATGATTTCTATTTTTCCCATGGGAGCATTTAATCGGGATAAATACCCTATCACCTAAGTCAGTCCAGACCCTGCCTATATACCGAATTCCATCAAAATCCATTTCCTTTCCATTCCATCCATGTATGACTATATTTTACCAGAATTAGGTAGGTATTCTGAGTTTATCACTTTACAAAATTACTAATTGGGTATGTAATGGCAAGCAATGAGATCGTCCCATATAAGATTTGTCAAACTGATTTCCGACGACGAGTGAGGACAATAAGGACCCACTCCGACTACCCCAGGACATGACGTGGCGATAATGCTCAGTAGTACCTACATTTTAGGCTTAAAAACACACACAGAATACTCATACATAAATTTAATTAACGATTGTAAAAATCCCAGGCATTATGTACTATGTCTATGTATAAACTATGTAAGTAGCTTCGAACAACAATGAAGGTTTCTCGCCGTCACCGCGTCGCGTCTAATTTCAATACAATGCTTTCTTATGGTCATTCATTTCATTGCTGATGTCAGTACTAATTACTTTATATGCGTGTACTACAATCATTGTTATATAACAGTCTAGAAATAAGTGAAGTAATCTGTGCCTTTAGCCAAACGCCACTTTAGCGCTTGTCTACTGAGAGAGTAGTAAACTAAATGTATGGGGATGGCACTGACAAGTGTCAAAATTTACGTCAATAGGGATGATGACAGGGTATGAAAATTAAGAATCTAATTAATCCGTCAGTTGTAATGAAAAAATGAAAAAATAATAAAAACATATTTTTTTATTTTGTCGTATAATTAAATAATACTTAGATAAAAAATCAGTCAAAGTTTAGGAAGGGGGGCTAAAACGTCATTTCTACGTAAAAAATGTACATAAAAGTGACGTCCCGCGACATTTCAAATCAATATATCGTCAAAAGTATTCGTTTCTGTAAGAAAATAAAAATACGTGTCAAATGTTTTAAAATAATCTACCAGACGGACATTAAAATAAAAATTAGGCATCTATCCTATTCCATATAAATTGGTTTTCTATTCTACAAGTAGACAAGCGCTAAATGGCATTTGGTTACAGCTGCTGTTTATAAATTTAGCTGGTAAGTATACATAGCGGCTATCTAGGACTTAATATTATGAAACAGCCCCTTAAACGGTTGTGAAGGACCATGAAATACTGACAAAACAAAATTCACTAAAATTAATGTTTACGATATATGTATGTAAAAGCTGTATGTAATTACGACTCTACTTGACTTGGATAAAGGCCAAGAGAAAGATTTTTTTGTAGAAATGGTTTCTTATAATCAAGCTCACGGATTTATTAATATTTCATGAATACAACGGTGATATTGTTTGCAAAAACTATTAAAAATAAAAAGAGATTGGGCTCGTCCGGGATTTGAACCCGGGACCTCTCGCACCCTAAGCGAAAATCATACCCCTAGACCAACGAGCCAGTTGAAAGAAATGCTGAACTTTTGTACCGGTACGCACAACACGTAAAACTAATTAAATTACATAATTTATTTTAATTCTTTGAAAAGAGTTAATTTACTTTGTCATTTCAGATGAATTAATTGTTTATGCTCTCAATAACATTAGTTCATAACATTCTTTAACCAAAAACTAATAAATTCAAAATCATATGGAAGAAGGTGCCACCTACACAGAAAACGTTTTTAATGGTTTTGGATAACAATACTTTTCGAACCAACCTTTTTTTCGCTGGCATTGACATGTTCGGAGGCTGATTGAGGTCAACGCACTAGTTTGCATGCTCCTAAATGTAGGTTAAAAATAAACAAAAGATATGTTTTGTTTCAAACAGCATTGTTCATTATGTAAGTACAGGTTGCGTGCCCGACTAATGTAACTTTAATTTGGCAGAAAACTGTTATTACATTACCTAGTTAGTACTAAAATTGTGCTATGTTATATAACTGTTCGTATGAAACCGTTAAAACGATAAATAACTGTACATTATTGACGGTTGTTAAAATAAATATCGTTTCAATGGTCTAGTAATCACAGAATAGTAATTTAATTTTGATTCAGGAACCAATCTGGCGTCTCCAATCTCGACGATACTTTTATGTAAATAAGTAATGCATTTAATTACTCGTGTGTATATTCAAATGCCACAACGTAAGCATAAATAAAAAAAAAATAAGTTTATTTACCTCGCTTTGACTACATATAAAGCACATAGACAAAATGCTACAATACATAAGTTTACTCAACTACAAACAAGGAGGTTACTCTTTTGTTTTATAATAAACAAGGAAATAATCAACGCATTCCGTCATCGAGTGAACGTGATCGAATGACTAGTCACCTGAATACAAATACTTCATTACCTATGCTTTTAAACTCTTTATTATCTGTGGAATATTTGCGATGTTTTTAATCTGCGCTATCGTATATTTTGCCGCGTAAATGCGGAAACGAGTATTTATTTTTACGCTTAAATAAGGTGTTTCTGCAAACGTTTTGCATTTTTCCGTTGGACATAACAAAGGTAAATGTTCAATTAAAAATTATTGCATTCATCAGTAAAATACATATACCACATCATTAATATCTAATTTTAACAGTATCTAAGTTTAAGAAATATGTAGATACATACATAAAATACGTATAAGATACCTACATAATAAGTAATTAATACCTATGTAAAGTAATGCATGTTGCATAAAAAATAAACGACATTTGATTATGCACTTGAAATATAATCACGATCAATAAATTCATATTTCCTACCAAAAATAATAATCAGGTTGCAAGCATGAAGTGCTTATAACGTACCATTAGTGTTAAGATTTTAAGATTCTTAAATCCTCTACCACTGTTTATCAAGATGGCAAAAAATCTAAAATTAGCCTTACTAAATAATAAAAACTGT